AGAGGCGAATAGGCTATATGTAAGTCGTAACATGTTAGCGCGCATACTCTTTCTCTATCTATAGGCAAGATTCTATCCAAATTTATGAATCTTCCCAGCATCAAATTTTGAGATAAACCCCATAATGGGACAATCATTACAATTTAGTATATGAAGCTCGTAATTTTTATGAGTCGAACTTAAGACTTTTACGTACAAGTATAGAAACTAGCTTTTGATATATGTATTAATACAAGCATGTTTAATTCATCTTTAGTAGCAGCTCACTTTGGAATTTTTTTTTTTTTGGGAAAATTAGGTTCACATCCTTCTTTTTGTTACTCCATTGATTAAAATCATATTCATTTTCAATTTTTTATCAAGGTCCTTGGGTATTAATAACATCATTAATTATTTGAATAATAAAATATATTTTTTTAAATATATTCATTTAGTGTTAAAAATGTTACAACTAGTATATTTATATTTATGGCTAAATTTTTTATCATATATTTTTATCTTTAGTTTGTACCTATTTTTAATTTGCAAATATTTTTTTATTTGTACCAATTTTCTTTTCATTTTTAATTTGTACCCATATATTAGTTTCTTTTTGTGCCCAATTTTTTAAAGTTTTATTTGTGTTTGTACCCATGTGTATACCGTTACGTGACATTGTATATTTAATCAATGATAGAAAAATTACATATTTATATTTTTAGTTTGTACCCACTTTTAATTTGCAACATTTTTTTGTTATAATGTACCCATTCTTCTTTATTAATTTTCTTTTTAGTTTTATAATGTACCCATTCTTCTTTATTTATGTACCACTTTGTTATATGTGAAATGTACCTATTTTTTTGTAAAATGTACCAATTTTTTTAACACTATGGATACATTCTTTTGCCATTTATTATTTCTTATTTTTACATAGTTTTTATCCATTTATTAAATCAAAATGTTTGAATTTTTTTATTGTAACTATTTCTAATAGTATTATAATGAGGGATTTTAAATTTATAGGATTATAAAGCTCATAAAATATCAAACAATTAATGTCAAAACTATAAAAATATTAATATTAATAATAATATAATGAGGTGTACAAAGTCAATGGACTTTGATCAAATTTTGAATACTATATTAAGGTTTTAATCAAAGAATGTTAAGTATTAGGGATTGTATCCAAAGTATCCCAAGATAAATTAGGTTCATATCCTTCATTTTGCTACTCCATTGATTAAAATCCTATTCATTTCAATTTTTGATCATGGTCCTTGGATATTAATAACATCATTAATTATTTGAATAATAAAATATTTTTATTTTTAAATATATTCCTTTAGTGTTAAAAATGTTACAATTACTATATTTATATTTATGGCTAAATTTTTTATCATATATTTTTATTTTTAGTTTGTACCTATTTTTAATTTGTACCAATATTTTTTTTCATTTTTAATTTGTCCACATATATTAGTTTCTTTTTGTGCCCATATTTTTTAAAGTTTGATTTGTGCTTGTACTCATATGTATACCGTCACGTGACATTGTATATTTAATCAATGATAGAAAAATTACATATGGTATATTTATGTTTTATACCTAAACTTTGTATCATATATTTATATTTTTAGTTTGTACCCACTTTTAATTTGCAACATTTTTTTAAATTTGTAGTATTTTATTTTTAGTTTTATTTTGTACCCATGAATTAATTTCTTTTAGTGCCTATATATTTTTTTTAAATTCATTTGTACTCATAATTTTTTAATCTTTTATTTGTATCCTAATTTATTTATAATGTACCCATTCTTCTTTATTAATGTACCACTTTGTTATATGTGAAATGTACCATTTTTTTTAACACTATGGATACATTCTTTTGCCATTTATTATTTCTCATTTTTACATAGTTTTTATCCATTTATTCAATCCAAATGTTTGAATTTTTTTATTGTAACCGTTTCTAATAGTATTATAATGAGGGATTTTAAATTTATAGGATTATAAATCTCATAAAATATCAAACAATTAATGTCAAAATTATAAAAACTATAAATATAAATTGTAATATAATGAGGTGTACAAAGTCAAGGGACTTTGATCAAACTTTGAATGACATTAAGGTTTTAGTCAAAGAATGTTAAGGATTAGGGACCGCATCTAAAGTATCATTTTTTTTTACTAACATAAAACATAAGGGGTAATTTACATGAGGTTACAAAATATTTACATTAAGATTATTGGATCAATCAACATTTTATGCGTTTAAGGAGAGGTCAATGAAGAGAAAGTTCAATAAGTGATATTGATCTTAGTTTGGATGAAAAATTGTTTATACTAGCTTTAGTTGAAGGGCAAAATTGTTTCTGTTGACCTACGTTAGGAAATAAAATGTCTATCAACCGATGCCAAAATATGAAATACCTACTAATTATACATGTTTGGACGAGAAACTTTCAAAACACCAAAAAACTTTTAACTCAATTGCTAGAAATGCACTACAAGGCCAATGAACAAAGAACTTTCGAGGTACCAACGAACTATTCAAGAACTAGAAACCTATTACTAAAACACTACAAATGCACCACAAAGATAACGGACTTCCAATTCATTTAGTCATTTTTCAAGTCCTATTTAATTTGTGTAGCGCAATCCTAACACATTTGACCTAAATTTCATGAAGCCTTAAAGTCCAGGAAAACTAAATGACTATATCAGTTCGTATTAGATCCTAATGTAATGAGTTGGTGTCCCTGGCATGTTGATATTTCAATCAAAATTTTAGGCTTAAACTTGAAATTTTAGGATTAAACATGAAATTTTAGGATTAAACTTGAATACAAATTAAGTGTAACGGAACGAGGATATTGTCATGACTAATTGACTTATTGTACGTTTGTTGCTTAGTAATATGGAAACAAAGTGTCTAATAAGATTTTTAAAGTGTTAATAACAGTTCTCTTGAATAAATAAATAGAAGTTGAAAAGTATTAAAATTTAGTTGGGCCCACCGACCCAAGGTTTTAATGGGATGGGGCCATGAAATTGACAGCAGCTTTGGGATTTTTTGGACCACAACCCACATGGAATGGACTATGTTTGTTTCCCAGCTCTAAAATATTATCATTTGGATAAACTGACGATTGACTCTCAAAATTATTATCCTTAGTTGAAAATTGAACCGTTGAATTATTTTTTTGTTACATTAACTCTTAGAATTATTGATATCAGCTAATTAATCTCTTACCATCAGATTTAATGAAATTTTATCAATTTTATCATTAAATATTGGCACAACTTTACCCTCAAAAGTGAACCATATACTAGTCAGGTACCAGTATTTGACGATAAAGTGGAAAAAATTACCAAAAAAAAAGGTTTAAGTCAATTTCAATTAGAATAATAATTCAGGGGCTCAAACGACAACTTACTCCTTTTTTGTGCATTAGCCAAACACACAACAATGCTTTCTTAATTCAAAACTTCATGAGGAAGGATGTTATCTTTTTCCAAGTTTCCAAGTAGTAGTGTGTCTTTAGGAATTCAAATTTTGAAAATTTGTATTATTGCAGATTAGAATGGAGGAATTGATACTTGAAGAATGGGCAACTTTTGGCCAAGTCGCGTGATAACAGCGACATTACTTCTTGTTCAGGTAAAAAGTCTAACCTCTCACAAGCAGCACAATTTCGGCCGAGTCGAGTACAAAGTCTTCCTCTAAAGGCAAACCAATCATGACACCTGTCCTTTTGAGCTTTAGATTGGTCACTTCAAAGATTTTATGTTCGAGCTTGAAATGAGAAGACAAATATCACGAGATCAAGAACTAGTTAGTCTCTGTATCAAGATTCAATAATGCGGATATACTTGATGGGATGATTGCGAAAGGATAGCGTATATGAAACCTGATGTGCCCAAAATCCTTAACTAGTTAGTCTCTGTATCAAGATTCAATATTGCGGATGTACTTGATGGAATGATTGCGAGAGGAAAGCATATATGAAACTTGATGTGCCCAAAATCTTCTACTAGTTAGTCTCTGTATCAAGCTTCAATAATGCAAATACACTTGATGGGATGATTGCGAGATGAGAGCGTATATGAAACCTAATGGGCCCAAAATCCTTTTCGGGAAAATGAAATTTATTGTTGAACGGAGTTTGTTTTGTTAATAAATGTGACATTTGAAAGAGAAAATATGTTATGCACGATTGCAGGGCAAATTCACTCCCTTCCTTTGAAGACGAAAAATAGAATAAGTCCTTAAAGTTAGCTCAAGCGGTGAGAGATAATAAAGTAATGTGTTAGAATAAGCATCGCTAATCACCTCCAATAAGACCCCAAAAATTGTTAAATAAGACCCACAAAGCAGATTACCTGTGGATCATTTTTTATTAATTGCATTAGCTGAACAAATTTCAACAAAATGCAGTACCCACTTCTGCCCAACATGGCTTAAGATGAATACGACTGCACTATGTGGAAGCCACCTAAGAACATTAAGAAATCTACGTGCATCGGTAATGTTACTATGGCGGGATTCCAAGTCAATCACACACTAACACGTTACAGTATGTGACTGATAAGAATATCCTTACAGTGGCATTTCCGTTGTAGTTCTTCTCGAACCGAGTCTTCAGACAAAGGATTCTAAAACCCTTTTCTAGCAAACATGACTTAAATTGGTAATTATACCAATATAAAGGTGAAGAAAAACAATGGTAAAGAAAGAACAAGATTAACCTAACCACATGATAGTGAATGATTACTGGTCAAAGAGAAAAATGATTGGACCGCAAGTTCCCACTGGAACTAACCAACACCTTAATCACTCCGCACAATTTGCCAATTCTGTCTGGTATCCTTCATGAAGGCTCAGACAAAAATGTTGCAGACCATTCATGGTTTTTTTACCCTACCTCCCCCAAAAGCCCGAGAAAACAGTATCTCAAACTAATAACGCATGCACCTCTAAACAAACCCGCAAGCTAAAAAAATATAAGTAATGGCAGTGTAATGAAGAAGATAAAAAACCCTTTCAACCTCTAAGATTAATACAGAAGTAAAATCCTCTTTCAAAACTAATTAACAGAAGAAAAGAATTAACAGATATCTCTTGGTAATTAACAGAGATCTAATTGCCCCATCTTGTCAAGTTGGGTTGAACATGCAGGAGAAGAAACCAGTGGAAGTACCTTGGAAGAGCTTGGAGGATTCTGATGATTCTCCTTGTTGTTGCCAACAATGAGTCTTATAAAAGACCCCTCTCTCTCTTCTGCTGTCATTGTTGAATTTGTTGAAGCTTTAGCCCCACAATCTTGAGCTGCAGAAGCTCCAGTACCGCCATTTTTAGCTGCCCTTTTCTCAGCTTCCTCCATCAATCTCCTCAGCAGCTTCTCCTCTGCATCTCTCAAGAACTTGAACTTTGGAGGGGGTGAAGATTTCAGCCTGTTCATCTCAGCCTCCGTGGAGGATTCAAAGAGGGGGTTGAATCCATGGTGTTTGTAGGCCTCCAAATTGCTCAAAGGTGAAAGTTTTACTGATGGGGAGGGCATAGGGGAGAGAAAAGGTGTGTCCACAGCCAAAATTATATCACTCAAGCTTCTAGTTCTTGACCCTTTTCTGCTACTTTTAGATTTCCCATCTTCTGATTCCAAATCCTCCTTTTCTTCCTCCTTGATTGTGAACAAAAACCTTGGTGGGCCAGCCAGATTGTGCAGCCTCATCAGCTCTGAGATTTCCACATTTTCTTCCCCATTGAGCTTCAACAGCAAATCCTTTCTAGAACCCTGTTCCAAATCCGGCTCGCTACTTCCATTGACATTCACATCTGGCTCTCTCAAATTCTCATGGGAATTTGAATTTCGATTGCTGCTGGTGTGAAGAGAATTGGGTTTTTTGAAGCAATTAAATTGGAAGATTTCCTTTGCATGGTTGCTGCTGATGTAGTCATCATCTTCTTCCTCCTCAATCTCTCTGTTGGTGACTCTCTTCTTCCACCATAGCAGGTAGTAAAGCTCTGCAACAAGTGCCAACAGCAGGCACCCAAAAACCACGCTCAACCCAATTCCCAATCCACTCAAAGACGTCATATTTCTCTCTGGAATTTCATAGCCTCGTAGCTTCCAAAATCTCTCAGTTTTCTCAACTATAAACAAAACCCACAAGCAAAAAATAAGAACCCAGAAATTTAAGCCACTGAATAACAGAATAAGTACAAATTCTCTAAAAAGCTAAAAACCCACAAAGTACACTTTTGAAACTTCTGAATTTTTCACACGAATTTTACATACTATAAAAATTTCCACGCAAGTTGCCTCGGACGCACGCAACGAAGAAAAAGAAATCAGGGACTGTGAAATTCGGCGGAAAAGGAAAAGCAAAATATGAACTTACCTTTAAAGTCCAAGATTCAACCACCCAGAAGGGCCACAGCCACCACCACAATTTGTGTAGAAGTAGAAGAACCAACGGAGGGTAAAAGCTCAAAGCTTTGTTTGCAACAGAAAGTCAAATGAAAATTTTATTTTTTGCGAAGCATTCAGTGAAAGAATGAGGCTTTTTTTCTTTTGAAATTTTTTTTCGACTTTGGTGGTTTTGGTTTTGATAATTGGAAAGCAACCCACATGGAATTGGAAAAGCGTGTATGCCAATTTAATCATTTTTAAAAAAGGAAGTTAAAAAAATGGAAAGGAAGACTTGACAGTTTCTTGTAATATTATCTAAATTAAATATCTCCGTAATAAAGATGTGTTAATCGCACTCTAGTGTCTTATCTTTCAACTTAAATAATCGATAAGGATCTTAAAAGATACATAATGATAATAGGTTCGGCGCTAAAAGGTAACAACAGCTCTAGACTTACATTGAATTGTGGAAGGAATGAATAAGCTGAATTCGCGGAAAAAAAAAAAAAAAAAAAAAAAACATCAAGGATGATGATATAAGGAATTCTGGAACGAAAAAGTTTAGATAAGCTTTCTACTTAAAGGGTAAGAAGCTAGCAACTAATGATGACTGAATATTCATGGTAGTTATTGGAGTGCATAATCACACCGCAGCAGAGCATTTAGATGATCATTTATTTGTTGATAGATTATCGTTAGGGGAGACTTAGTTGTTAAAGAAATATCGTTTCTGTTTTTTTGAAATATCGGTGGGAAAATAGCATATTAAAAGTTATTGTAGGAATCATAGTGGATTTTAATTTTTTTTAGCTTTTAAATTGAGTGAAATTATAATGTAGTTAAGAAAATAACACACTAAGGTGGATCTAGCAACTCTCCTGCAATACTATTGTTGAAACAAATAACTTCTCTTGTTCAATATATTTCATACATGTAGTATGTAGTTATTAGTTATATGATGAAGAAGAAAAATCACGTGTGGAGTGCATCTGACAAATTATTTATTCATTTTTCTAAACAAAACTTATTATTTTCTATTCATTGTTCCATATTTCATGCAATGTGGGAATTAATACCCTCGCACCAAGTATTGTATATCTATTTAATAAGGTACAGATCTTTAGCATTATTATTTTTTACTACACATCTTTTAACATATGTTTTTGTGAAGTTCACTTCATAATATATTTCAACAATTTAAGCTATTTATTTTTTAGATCTTCTTTCAAATATCATGTTTATCAAATTTGAAACCATATGACGATTAAATAGGTTTTAGAATTTTTCTGTAGAACTATATTCGTCAATTTTTTTTTCAGACAACTGTCTTAATGATTTTAAATTTGACTAATTTTTTACAAAAAATAATTTATGAATAATATTCTAAAAGATAAAGTTCAGAAAAAAATTTTTTTATCAAAAAGTGTGTAAAAAGAGTAATGCCCGAACTCGTCCCTTATATTTTTTTGTTCAATGTTTTCAAAATTAATAATCAGATTAAACAAAGAATAGTGGTAGTGCATCAGCCAAGCTGGCCATCCACGTAATACAGCGTGATTTAGAGGGACACTGCCAAACAATACACTTGTCACCCATCATCATCGACCTGGCCTTATTTCCTGGTGACCTTCAACCTCCTGCAAAAGCTTCTTCGGCCAACAGATATAAAATCCTTACTTTCTGCAGACCCAAAAAAAAGCAGGAAAAAAGGTTAGTTTCTTTTTGTTTTTTTTTTTTCTGGTTTCTTGTTGTGGTTGGTTTCTTAGCTTTGGCACAATGAAAATACGTGCTCTGTTATGATTGATGTGATCAAAGGGTCACGATTTTGAGTCTCTATTTGCAAAGCAAAAGTAAGTACGATAGATGTTCTCTCGCTTCTCTCCAAGCGAAGAGTCTTGTTGACTTGACGTCGCTCCAGTGGTTGGTTTTTCTGGTTTCACACAACCTTCACTTATATGTCACTCTAAGGAAAAAGCTTAGAGAGGTGACCTTCCTTAATGCTAGCTCTGGTATCCTTACTAGTGGACAAAGAGAAAATTACAACAGAATCTTGAGCAAATGTATTTTGTTTTGTCTTTTAAGTTAAGTAATTAATTTACCTCTTTTCCACACATATTCCTCTTTTATCTTTTGTTTCCTTGCAACTTTTAAAGACATTCAGACCTACAATTACAAACCACTAAACTCCAATGGGGAGATAATATGTTGGTGGGAAAAACTATATTTCATACAAGTTAAACAAAACCATGTGAGTATGTTTTCTTGTTCAACACTTTAACTTTGGGTTAACGAGAAAGATTATAATAACTGAGGCAATCTGCCATTTTGTTCAACAGTGTTATTTATAAGGGAGACTTTAGATGTGATCCTTAGTCATGAATATTCTTTGATTGAAACCTTGTTAGTTTTTAATTTTTGATTGAGATCCCTGAAATTAATGTGATCATTTATTTCTATGTACGTTACTATTTTTTTTAAATTAAAAATTAGAAATTTTAGTTGTTTATATAAATGAGATTTTAAATAAAAAACCATAATTTGTGGGATTAAAAATATTAAAATATAATATACTATTGTGTGTGTGTGTGTGTGTGTAAACATGGGTACATTCTTCAAAATCACAAAAAAAAAAAAAGATATTAGGCTTAATAACATTAGTAAATTTCTTCGGTTAAACTTGACATAGATACATTTTAAAATCAAAGAAAAAAGAATGTACCCATATAAGTTTAAAAATGGATTAGAAAAAAAAATTGAATAGATTTTAAATAAAAAAAAGGTACATTTTACATATAACAATTTTGTATATTTAAGAATGAGTACATTTTAAGATTAAAAAGTTTTACATGAATGGGTTCATATAATTAGCATGGGTACATTTAGCAAAATTAAAAATGGGTACAAATAAAAAAAAAATATGGGTACAAATACAAATAAACTTTAAAAAATATGGGCACAAAAAGAAATTAATATATGGGTACAAATTAAAAATTACAAATTGAAAAGAAAATTGGTACAAATTAAAAAAAATTACATATAAAAAATGGATACAAACTAAAACTAAAAATATATGATAAAAAATTTAGTCATAAATATAAATATACTAATTGTAACATTTTTAACATTAAATGAATATATTTAGAAATAAAAAATATTTAATTATTGAAATAATTAATGATTTAATAATACCAAGGACCTTGATCAAAAATTAAAAATGAATAAGATTTTAATCAATAGAGTAGTAAAAGGAAGGATGAGAACCTAATTTTTCATATTTATAAATACTGTTTCAAGTAGCGCTTTTTTTTCTTCTTCATAAAATACTCCTAACAAAAACACTTATGAATCTTAAATCATTTTAGATCGACATTCTAATTTATAAATCTTCGTCTCATCTCTCCTATGAGTTTGGTAAAAAGTATGTGACCGTATTTTTTGAATTCCTAATATTTCAAATAGTTATTATGTGATTTTTTTTTCTTAATGAACTAAATAAAGGAGGCAAACACAGGGTGACCCAGTGGTTAGAGACGAATTCTAGGCTCGTATTCCACACAGTACGTCTTAGGTTCGATTTCTGATGCTGGTAAATTACACGATGGTGGTCAAAGAGAGGCTAAAATGCCTCTGTGCATCTTTCTAACCTTTGAAAAGTAGACTAACGAAACCATTAGCTAATCTCTTTAAAATAAAAAATAAAAATAAAAACTAAATAAAGGTGACAAGATTTAGGTTTTTGTATATTTATATTGGCAAGAATAAATAAACTCCTCTAAGCCAAATTAACCCTTGGGCTTTTGTCACGTATCGTTGAGACGTTATTTCAAAACATCTGCATGGCAGGTCAATTAAAGCTTGGGCTGGCGGATGGAATTCAATTCACTGAAAATTGGTGGAGGCCCGAATCAGTACGGGCTTGTGCAAGGCATGTGCCCCTCTAGTTGTCAAATTGGACCTAGGGTGTGCCCATTTTTTGAGTCATTGATGATCAATGAGATGTCAAATCGGAAATATTTGTGATTTGCCCCATCATCAAATCAAAAGTTGATTATTGTAAGACCATGATTTTCCAAGACCGGAGTAAAGAGGATCGGAATACACGTACTTTAGAAGTTTGTCATGAACTCGACAGCCTTATTATAGAGCTGACTAAGCAGATTAGCAATCCTGCCATCATCCTATTCCAAAATTAGTGGGGCGAAGTCCACCGACTTCGCTGAGATAGAACATGCTTGTTTCGCAATATTCGGGAACCTAATCCAACAAGGAATCAACAAGCTTTCTATAATCTTAGAGTCTTTATAATTGGCATGCGCAGCAAGTAATCACTCTTAAGAGAATACAATATCTACTTCCTAGATATCTTGTGAGATTTCTTGGTTTAATAAGGATTTTACTATCCTAGAAAGCCATCTCCTCGAATGGTGTAAATACACCTTTTTAGGATTCATCTATGGTAGTTCAATCTTTGCATACTTATTTCTTGCCTACTGCTTGAGTCTTAATATTACTTACTAACTTGACCGTCGAAGGGCATTTGACCGACACACCCCGATCCTTGGATGTTTGTTCTTTTACAGGTTAACAAGTTTGGGCATCTCCACCACACACAGCGGTGCACAAATTTATATCCAACATCTATCATTTTTATCCAAATCTGAACCGATCCACATTAGCCATCTAGGCAATTTTGGAGACAATGATATTTAGGCGTGTTTGCTAACACATTTTAATACAGATGAGTCTTACATACATTAGTAGATTTTACTTTTATTAAAAAACATATTAATAAATGTGTCAATTTTATATGTACAAATCTTATTATTGAGTGTTGGGATGTCTTTTAAATATAGGAGCCTTCATCGTATGGTTGGTGAGCAAGGGGGATTGGAGTGGATTTTCCTTTCCACTACTATCCCGACCTTTTTATGATAAACCAAAAAACACCCTTTTGAAAAGCTGTATCACAAAACTCTACCTACACACTTTTGAATAAGGACATTTTAGTAATCAACATGAGTGTCTCACTCCCACTCAAGCATACTCCTCTCGTTACTAAACAGCTGAGTAGGAATTGCATCACTCCCACCCCTGCTCACTCACTCAAAGTACGTAAACATGCGTCAAAGTTATTGGCTAAACATTTGTTACTACTACTCCATACGTGCAAATTAAAGTGTTAAGGACTCTGTTAAAAATGGTCATAGCCACATAAAACTATTAATAAACGAGAATAAAAGTTATATCTTATATAACCGTATCTACAAAAATAGTTAATTTATGTGAGTTCAAACTATAAATCATAAAACCTATACAACACGACACAAAACCACATCTATTCTGATTCGAATGGAATGAGCCTCAATCCTCAATCCTCATCAACATCAACTCTAACACGTACGTAGTCTGTGGGTGGACACGTGATACAAACCCCTTGGACTAGAGAAAAGGTGACGGATCAAAGGAACGATATAAATCATAGGTCGGTGGGTGAACGACTGTTGTATCATATATATTATTAATTTACTAGTACAAGTCTTCCTGGAGAAGATATCAAGATATCATTTAATTACCATTATAATTATTAATTAATGTTAACCCCAGGTTGGGGTTGGCTGCTTGAAGAAATCATAAATTAATTAATTAATGTTAATGAGGAGGAAAAGTGTGGTCAGCGTGATGGTGAAATGGTTGGGACTAATCTTTGACCGTTTAAGGTGAGTGGTGTGTTGTGTTGGGGTTCGGAGGCACTGCCACCTGTTTGGGATGGATTTTATTTTTTAAAACAATAACGCGGACAGCTGGCTCGTCCTTCTTAAAAACGCGGTTTACATTTTATTTTATTTATAAAAAAATGATATTATTTGCTCCTTAATATTAAGTATTCTTTTTTTATTTGTAAGAAATATATGTTATGTTTGATTTTCGTCAAATACAAATTTGAATTATATTATTACTAGTCTATTATAAGGCTTAGCTTACTCTCGACCTCCAATTAATATAAATAATATATCACGTATCACGTGTATATATGGGTATTGGAGGCTTTTGCGGGATGATATTTCTATTTTTTTAAAATGGGGATTAGTTGTAAGGTTCACACATCGAATTTCAACGATCTGAACCGTCTACTTTTTAAGTTGCACTTCATAGATTATCATCCCAAAATAGTAGCAAACAAATATTAGCCAAATCGGAAATATTTGAGACATCTGATTTAGTTCAAAGCAATTGACGAACGCTTTGTTCTATAAGAAACAATAAAAATTCATCGTGATAATTAAATAAGCAAATAGTTTTGAATTGAATTGAATTATTTCAAAGGTGATCTATGAATTGAGACTTACAAAAAAGACGGTTCAGATCATTAGAGTTCGATTTAGAGCAGGTCCCAAAACTAAGCCCCATTTAAAAAAAAATGTGAATCTTTTCTCTCTTAAAGCCTTTATTTGTATTAATGTTTGAGAGAGGATCCTAATGTGAAGGTCCGGGGATCCTCAAATCACATTCGTTCATCGTGCATCGTGCTGTCATAAATCATTGTAATTTTTTTTTATTTAAAATTGAATATAAACAGTACCTGACGAAAACTAGCCGCAAAATACACAATAAAGATGTGATTAGAGGATCCCCTCTCTTAATGTTTAATCAACAATTCTGGCATGCACGGTGAGCATAGATTGGTCTCTCTCAATCTTGTTTTGCCTCCATATTTGCTCCTTGTCCTCATCAACATGTATAATATAAGAGTAATGCTAAGTAAACTAAATTTATAGATTAAATTTGCAAACTAAATGATGTGTCACCAATAAGAACAAACATGTTAATCAACACATAAATAATAATTCAATCATCAATTTTCATGTCATTTAGTTTATAGAATTTAGTTTACAACATTTAGTCTACACATTTAGTCTCTCTAGTATTACCCATAATATAATATAGAAAATATTAGAGAGGCCAAATTTTAAAACCAAATAATGTATCACCAATAGAAAATAAATATGTTAATCAATACTTAAATAACAATCCAATAATTAATATCCATATCATTTAGTTTACAAAATTTAGTTTAAAATTTTGATTTACTTAGCATTACTTATATAATATATAAACATACTAAGGGAATCTATCACTTGTAAACTTTATGTCACTTCATATTTTTTATAATATTAACATAAAAATTAAGTTAAACTGTGAGGTAACAAATTATTCATAAAAAATCTCAGGAGAATTCCTTATCATTTCCTTTATAATATTACCACAACCCTACCCCACCCCCCCCACACCAACCCAAACCGTGTGCAAAACTCGTACATCCAACGGTCCACAGAGTAGAATCCGGATGGCACGCATTATTATATATATTACCATGACTTTTCTTTTACTTACTCTACTTATATATCTATTTTCACTGTGAAGTGTTGAACCTGCGAGGAAATACAAAAAGCAGGAGGCCGGAGGGTATTTGAGGAAGAACGGCATGAAATTGCGTCATATACATACATACATACATACATACATATACATATACATATACATATATATATATATATGAGTCCTATCCATAAATGTCATCACTAACTTTACCTTATCATCAACTGAGCAAACGAATGATTCTCAAAAGCCCAAACGCCACACTCATCTTAATTAGCACTTCCGCTTCCCCTTCCACTTGGATCGTTGCTTAAGTAACAGGCACAGCCGCAGAGGCACCCCAATTGACTTGGGCAGTGTGTGGCAGCGGGACTAGGAGGAGCCCCACTGAGTAGTGTACACAGAGCTTATTGTACGACAGTCATGGCGTCAGACGATAGTATGACCATCCGGTCTTGTATCTCCATGCAGGAAGACGAGTACTATGAGGATACCGATGATTGGTTTGATCAACTGCCCCATCCCCATAACTTGTCTAGGCTATCCATGTGTTCCGTATGTGGTACCGATCGTGAGGATGTTATGGATTATGATAGTAATCATCATGATCATGGTAACTACTACTACCATGGCCAAGATAAATCCCCAGAAGACACTACCGCTGGCATGAATATGTTCATGTCACTCTTGTCCATGGAAAGCTTTGACCGGGACGTACTGGAAGTTGGGCTGTCATCCGACTCCGACAAGGAACCCAGCTCTTACTCACTTCCGGCAACGCCCCCAAGACGAAGGGCTCCAGGTGGAATGTCCCATTACAAGCATCCCAATTCCATGCTGCTTAAAGAGTACGCCAGCGAGAATGAAGCTCAAACAGTCATGGGCAACATTTCCAGGAAGAGCAGGAGGAGAACAAGAAGGACGCGAATCATCAACAATCGACACTCATGGCTATCGGCATCACCAGACAGAAGAAACATAGCTAAAAAGAAAGATGATGATGATGATGATGACACGAAGGACGCCAATAATACGATGATGGCGCGGACGGATAGTAGTCAGCTTGGCCATTGCCATAGCTTTAGCGGGGAGAGTGAGGGTGGGAGTGTGGTAGTGATAACGAGGCCCAAGGGAGGGAGGAGGTCCTTGTGCATGGACATGGAGGAAGTCAAGGCTTGCAGAGATCTTGGGTTTGAGTTGGAGCACCAGCATATGCTGCACGAGATGCCCCATCATCTTTCTCGCTCTGCCTCCACCCTTGACACCAACACTACCTGCAGTAGCGGCGGCAATTCCCCCATCGCCAACTGGCGCATCTCCAGCCCCGGTACATATGCCTATGCCTGCCTAGCTTCCATCTTATATATGCCTTTGCTTTTATTCCTTCTCAATTCTCAAACTGACCAGCCAAAGGTCATTTTTCATTGCATTGATCTCACAATTACCGGCATCATCTAAATTCGGGTCTAAATTATCTCTACTCTAGGTGACGACCCACGGGAAGTGAAGGCTCGAATCAAGGTCTGGGCGCAGGCTGTGGCATTGGCATCCACATCACGACAAGGCATCTGAGCTCACTAATCCACAAAAATGATCGCTTATTCTCTCAGCATGTGGTTTTTCAGTTTACCTATTTTGCTTCCTACACTTATGTTTGGGTAGTCCGTCACTCAGCACATTTTTTGTTCTTGTGGGTTTTGGATAGATTGCATCGTTTCGGTTTCCCTAGAAGGATTGAGGTTTCTGGTTGACGTTCCTTGATCTTCATCTGAGTTCACCGTATTTCAGCGCTACCTCTGCAGCGCAGCTTCTCCACATTGTAAATATAGTAGTATGCTGTAACTGATCATTCTTTTTCGTGATGACAGATTACAGACATACTTGATTATGTTCATTGTGTGTAAAGATTTTCAAGATTCAGTTTCATGTATCCATTTTGTGTGGCGTTTCCCATTGGATATTGGCATTGGGAACGATCGATATTGATATTGTATTGGTTATGAAACATATATACAAAAGTTCATGTTCCTACATAGTCCTAATGTTATCCGATATCCGCTGCCAAAAATCATCGGAATATCGCTAACAAAATACTAAAGCAGAGACAAAGGAAGAAACAATGCCATGTTTTACTTGGACGAAACTCAGTGCAGGAGCCAAGTCACTGGCCGCTTTTAACCCTAATTCGCCTCTCAAAAGTAAACTGTGTTAACGATGATGGAGAAAAGTTAGCAAGTCTATATGTTGTGGACACAAAAGTCAGGAAACAAGATCCAACAAAATAAGGCCTTTGATCACAAAGTCAAGAGGTCTATTGTATAGACACTTAGCGTTGTATAGGCTAGCTTTTATTGCATATGGTTGAGTGTAGTTGGGGCAGCTGCTGCCTTTATTGTTTAGAACTCCAGCACTGTTATATATGGAGGCGACAAATTCCAAAATCTCTGCAAAACTCACTGAACAGATTGAAACCACATGCAATGGACAACAACAAGGCACTTAGCAGATCGATTTAGCATGGCAAAAGACTGGGAATAAGTCATGGGAGATATATCCTCACTGCAGATAGAAGATTCATTTTAGTCCCTCGCAATTGAAATGGAGAGAAGAAATTGGGAAAGGGTATCGAAAGCTGAGAAAAACAAAGGCATCTTCTAATAATTTGAATGCTCAACTTACTCATTGGTTGCTAACAAGTTGAAAACTTGTGATTGAATCAACACACCAAGGAACCTTATTCAAACCAACAATTCTCCCAAGCCAACGATGGACACCCAAGTTTCACGAGTGACACCGGAGGCTCAACTAGCATGCTAAAAATGAAATTACCTTGGAGAAACTGGATGAGGGAATTCATTCCTATACCATTAGGATTGGCAGATGGAGGGTCTAAACTTGCTTGGAGCTGACGAAAACAACTACAAAAGTCAAAATCCTTGACAAACTGATAAACAGTGAGTACCGTTTCTGTCATGCCTTACAGGTTTTAATCATCTAGGTTTGAAATAATCGAGGAAAACAATAGAGTTAGGATGGGTATTGAACATGACTTACCTGATTGCAAACAAACCAGCATCTCGGATACTGCTTCTATTTATGTTCCAGCTGCAAGTGTAACTGGTCAAGGAAGAAAAAGCTTGCAGTTTTATGAGCTGTTTCAAATGGAAAATTGGGATGGACAAGATTCTCTGTCACCTTCAGAGCTTGATAAGAATACAAATGCTTTGGATACACAAGATAAAAATCCCAAGGGAGATGCCTGTGGCCTTCGGGGTGAAGACCCCACTACTTCAGGAGAATGGGGTGGAGGTGCTGGTATTGAATTCAGTCATCAAGATGGTATTGATGTGGTTTCCGTTTCAGGACAGAAGCAGGGTATACGAAAGATTTCAACGAGCTCAAAGATTAGAAAACTGTACAGAAAACAGAAACCATTGCGTAAAAAACTATTTCCTTGGAACTATGATTGGTATAGAGAAAAGGCTTGCATCGATGAGAAAATGGGCGAGTCTGTGGGAACTATTAGGAAGTGCAAATTAGGAATTGTGGATCATGCATCAGTTTTAAGAACATCCTCAGGACAGTCAAGTCATATTAAACGATCGTGTAAAGGGGCAATTAAAGGTCACCAGAGCATTTGGTGCTGGGTTCTTGAAGAAGGTCAGTTCAGCTGGTAACTTTTACCGAAAATAAATTAGGAATTGGAGAGAAGGGTTTAGGGGTGCAACTCGGGCGGTTGGTGGGTTAGAAGGTCAACCAACTCTAAACCAACCGTTTCAATTTCGGTTCAAGTTCAGGCTTGGGTTATGATGGATCGAAGATAAATGAATCTAATCCAACCCGTGATCGGGTTCGAGTTAATGCAGGTTGGTAAAGAACTATAAGGTTATTCAGTTTATTCTTGAGCATACCCATCCAACATTTAAGTCCTAGTAAGACTCAATTTTTAAGTCTCATAGGAACATGTCTCTTGCACAAAAAGATGAAGCAGATATGGTAGATAGTTTAGAAATTGCTTCAAGAGAAACTGTGGAAATTATGAGTAGACAAGCTTGTGGTCGTCAATATCTTAGATTCATTCATGATGATTATAAGAACTATTTACGTTCCAAATGAACAAGAGAGAGGAAGTTAGGTGATACGGACATAATGTTAGAATCTTTACAAAAAATTGCAGTTGAATGATCCTCATTTCTTCTATTTTATAAAAGTGGATGAAAATGATTTGATTACTCATATCTTTTGGGTCAATTCAAAGACAATGGTGAATTATAATTATTTTGGTGATGTGGTATGTTTTGATCCTTTTGCGATGTTTGTTGGTGTCAACAATCGTAAACAAACGGTTGTATTTGGTGTTGCATTATTGTATGCTGAGATGGTTGCCACACTCAGTTTATTTTCGATACTTTTGTCAAGTCAATGCCTAGAATGAAAAAAAACTACTCTAACAGATCAAGATGCAAAAATGGCCAAAGCATTGTTTGAGAAACAACTACAAATATGTCATCGTTTATGCATCTGGCAGATATACTAAAACGCAGCCAAGCAACTTAAAAGCGTTTTTGAAAACTTTGATGATTTTGCCAGAGTTTAGTAGTTGCATATACGACCACAAGGATGAAGATGATTTTCTAGATGGAGCAACATGATGCTGGATTATAATCTTACATATGATGATTGGTTGAACCGGTTGTTTGTTGTAAAAGAGAAATGTGCATTAGTTTATGGGCGCCAAACTTTTTGTGTGAATATTACTACTACTATTTAGCACAGTGAAAGTATGAATAGTGCTATCGAAAAGTATGTCAATTACAAATAATTTGCTACAATTTTAGAACATTTTGAAAAGTTGTTGATGATCGTTAATATCAAGAATTTGTCAAATTATCAAAAAGATAAACTCAATACTTGTCTTCAACAACATCGACATTATCTTCAATTGTTTATTATTAAATGCACAATCTGACATATGTGCGGTTTCATCGTAATTAATTAAAATGAAATTAAGATATTTAAATTCTTTTTTTTTTCCGTCCCTGTCCCATGTGACACGAGGGGTGATAAACTACGCAATTCAATATGTCAAATGACAAAACGATCCTTCTCACCCTGACGTGGTCGCTTCCCATTGGTTCCCACAATAACCACTCATAAATCGCCGCGCCAAAATCAACGACTCGGAAAAAGAAGGAAAGAAAAGAATATCTCATCCTCATCTCTCCTCTTCCTGTACTCGACCATGAACCACTGACAGAGCCTGGGACCCACTCTCAAATTCCTTTCATGGCGAAGACTCTCATCTCATCCACACCGTTCGTCGGCACATCTCTGCCGTCTGTCTCCCTCCGTGGGTCCTACACTCTCCCCTACCGCAGCAACGGACTCGCCACCACCAGAATCAGGTTCAGCCTCCACGACTCCGTTCCTCCGATTAATCCCTTCGACCACTCCCCCGTCGACGTCGCCTCGCTTTTGAGCCGCGCCGAGGGGCTTCTTTACACGATTGCCGACGCCGCCGTCGCCGTCGACCCGAGCTCCGCCGATGCTGCAGCTCAGAAGAATGGCGGGTGGTTCGGCTTCATCTCCGACGCCATGGAGTTCGTGCTCAAGGTAGTTTGAGTTTCATAAATTTATTTAAGTTTCTGGGAAAAAGAATGAAATTTGGGATATTATTTGCTGATATTTTACTGCTGGAAATTGAATTTTGATAGATTTTGAAAGGCGGGCTCGATGCCGTGCACGTTCCGTATTCATACGGTTTTGCAATTATACTGCTTACGGTTATCGTTAAACTTGCCACACTGCCTCTCACAAAGCAACAGGTTTGGTGTTTGTTAGTTGATAATTCGTTTTTTTTTTTTTTTTTCAAAAAACCCATTTGTTTTGTTTTTCAAAAATTTGAATTTTTTGGTGTAATATTTGTAATATGCAGGTGGAATCGACGTTAGCGATGCAAAACCTTCAACCAAAACTTAAAGCCATACAAAAAAGATATGAGGGCAATACGGTGAGGCTTTACCTTTGTTGAAATGGGTTTCCTTTAACTGTTGAGTCGGAGTAATTGCCGAAATGTGGTTAAGTGTTTACCTGCCTCCGTTTTCTTGTGGTACCTAATTCGTAACTATGGTTTTCGCTATGTAGGAAAGAATACAACTTGAGACATCACGGCTGTATCGGCAGGCAGGGATTAATCCATTGGCAGGTAAGAAGTTTAATTAATCACTATTATATTATGTTCATGTATGTATGCGTGCGTGCTGGATTGATCATTTATTGCGTTACTTGAATGTGAAACACCTTCAATATGAGCTCTAATCGGACTTAATTTGCATATTCTTACATGAACTTTAAACACAATTGTTCGCTGTGTTGGTTCATCGTGAGATATTTAAGTTTTACTAATGGAACCAATTTCTGTTTATGTTTAACTTTTAAAACTAAAGATCTTGATGTTTTGCAATGCCATGTTGAGCTGGTGTGTTGAATTTAATTTGATTTCTTGATCGTATTCTGGTGTGTCACCTTGAGCCAAACTACGAGGCTCTTATTCAATTTTTTAATGTAGGGTGTTTACCAACTTTGGCCACAATACCGGTTTGGATAGGTCTATATCAAGCTCTTTCAAATGTGGCAAATGAGGTAATTAGTAGGTTGCCACTAAATTTTCAGTTGTGAGATGACTATTTTCCTTAAAATAAAAACAGTAGTGCTGATATTTGCAAATTTTTGTTTACTCAAAGGGATTGTTGACAGAAGGTTTCTTTTGGATCCCCTCTTTGGGTGGCCCAACATCAATTGCTGCTCGACAAAGTGGTTCTGGCATTTCGTGGCTGTTTCCATTTGTGGTAAGATATTTTGTGATTTCATGAATTATGAAGCTAACGTTTGTTATACAGCTAAGCTTAGTCGACCTTAGTTCTGGAAGCAGTCTACCAATTGTTAGCTAGCATTGCCTGTCTAACAATTGGTAAAGTGTATGGATAAATATGTTGAAGTTTGAATTGTACATATGAAAGTGAATTTTAACAACTCTAACTTAGATTTTTTAATAATTTGATCGGTCTTTCATTCAGTTTGTGTTCTACTAATTTACTTGCATTCTTAGTTGTGGATCTTTAATATGGATGATAAATATATTAGAAAGGTGAACGAGTTATCAATGAACCTTGACGCACTTTACTACAGCAATTTAGGCATGGTACCTGATCTAAGCGAGTAGCTGTACCATATTACTACTGAGGCCAAGTTACTTTCATGTGAATTCAACTGTTTATTACAAAGTATAATTTATGACGCAGGATGGACATCCACCATTGGGCTGGTCTGACACTGCAGCATACCTTGTTTTGCCTGTCCTCCTTGTTGCTTCTCAGTATGTTTCAATGGAGATCATGAAGCCTCCACAGGTAAAGAATTGTGTGTCTGCATTTACATTGGTTTCTTCATTTTCGTTTTTGATTCCTGTTTCATTTTGCTACCAAAAAAAAAAAAAAAAACTTTATGGTTGCGGGGATTGAATTATGGACCATTCAGGTGTGTGGTTATCTAGACTAACAGGTTTTTATTTTACTGTTTGTAACCTTAACTCTTCCTTTGGCAGACTGATGATCCAGCTCAAAAAAACACACTTCTTGTATTCAAGTTTCTTCCCCTCATGATTGGTTACTTCTCCTTGTCTGTTCCTTCAGGATTGTCAATTTACTGGTTAGTTTTTCATTAACGAAAATTTACTATGTATATCATCTTTCATGTATTGTATGCTAATACACAAATTACTGCCTGGATTTTGCTTGGAACTTCCTTAAAGGCACCTGTTAAGGAACGTGACAAGGGCTTTAAGATTATTCTGACAAGGGCTTTAAGATGTTTCTTATTTTCCTTTTAATGTCTTAGAACTCTTATTCTTTCTGACAAGGGATTTAAGATTATTCTGATTTGGCCTTAGATGTCTTAAGGTATTTCTTTATTTTATTTTATTTAAGGTCCATGGTTTTTGCAGTTTTGGTTAAAAGGGACAGCTTACTATTAATGATTTTTCTAGAGTCACTGTCAAATTTTGTTGGTACAGAAAGTACCGCTTTCATATCATACTGTAAAAACTTATCGTTCCACTTCATTTTAATTTTTCATTTTTAATTATTGTTCTCTCAATGTTTGCCACCATTTTCATGTAATGCAATCTATCTAGGAATAAATAAAATATGTTTTCTTTCATTTGCAAGCTGTATCTGGTGTAATTCTGAAAAATGATTCAAAGTGACCTTGTTTACGCTCATTCTTTATCAGTTGTATAATTTGTTTTTCAGGTTCACAAACAATATCCTCAGCACAGCACAACAAGTATGGCTGCGCAGATTAGGAGGTGCAAAGCCTGCTGTGAATGAGAATGCAAGTGGAATCATTACAGCAGGACGTGCAAAGCGATCAGATTCTCAGCCAGTAGAGGCTGGCAGTAGGTTGGTGTTATACTTTTGGAGAATTGTATAAAATCTTTCATAAAGTTCTGTTCCTGACCAAATGAAAAATGGTGATCAACAGATTTAGGAAGTTAAGAGAAGAAGAGAGAAAGAAACAATTGAGCAAGGCGTTAACAAATGAAGAGGTTCAGACTTCTGATTCTGAAGTTGGTCCAAATGAAGAAAGCAATGACAAGGTAAAATTCAAAAATTTAGTGTTAGGATTAGATTTAACCTGTTAAGTAGTCTTCTAAAGAAGAAACCTAAGCATTATATCTCAACTATATGAAAAGATGACATTCTTTTATGCATAGTTTTAATGATTATTGAAGAAGATAGTAGTTGTGTGTTTAGACTCACCTTGCTAATCCATTTTTCAAAGTGGAAGTTTTTATTGGATGGTCAAAACATTCCTTGTTTGTTGTTTTTGAACAGTCCCGGCTATAGTACCTAATAATCATCCATGCTTTCTTTGAATGAAACTCATGACTTTAAACAAGTGTTTTGGACGCTAGAAGTTAGTCACTTATACAGTGTGGTAAACTAGGGTAATCATAAGCCATAACTTATCTACTTTGTCTTTTTGTAGTAGTTTGTGGGTTCCACTACTTGTGTGTCAATTGAATTAATGTTGCAAGAACTTGTACAAAGTAGCCATTGAATTATAATGAAATAGTCATGAAGTGTGGAGGTCTTTTATTCCTGCACCGACATGCATGATCAGGTGCGTGTCTGCAATGCATTTCTTCTTTGGTACTAGATGCAAGGCAGCTCACTTAATTTGATTCCCCACGTAACCATCTAGAAATGGGAAGTTATTTGTCTTCCACCTTGCTAATAGAAGAAAGACAAACTAACTGATAAATGTAAAAGGGGTATTTCATGAAACGCAAATGGCACTTGCTCTAATTTGTTATACTTAGAAAGAAATGAAATGATAATCATATCCATTAATTAAATCTACTGTTAGAATGGTTCATTCTTTGTTGTTGTATTGAACATTATACATTATGAACAAGTACCAAACATGAATGTGACAGTTAGTGAACATTAGGCTGTTTAGTTGTATTTAAATATTGTTTAAGTTTTGCATTTGGAACTGATTTAGAGGTTATATCAGGGTGAGGAGGTTCTAGAAGAGGTGTATGGTTCTGGTGTTGGAAAGGAGCTTCCAAATGATCCTCGACCAAGGAGAAGCAAGCGATCTAAAAGGAAGCGTGCTGTATAAAATGACCGTATACTGATTAAGTTTATAGTTCACGGTGAGTCCTGTATATCTCAGCCAAGTGTATTGTAGTTAATATATCATCGGCTTTATGCTGGCTCATTATTTTTGAGGTATAATGAAAATCATGCTAATTACTTCTCATCTACTTAGTCTCTTCATTCCACAGGGTGCTAAAATTGTACTTTATTGTCAGATTTGTTGCATGGACTACCAAGTAGATAATTAATGCCTTAGAAAAATGGAAAACAGTACGCATGAAGATTTAACATGCTATTAAGGTTTTGCATTATTGCACTTTTCATTTTTGGAAAACGAAGCAAAGTTGTAAGTTTGTGTATCAATGCAACTGGTTTTTCCAATTTAGAAGCTTTAGGATGACAAGTTATATTTTGAATGTCTGTCCTTTGAACATTGAGAGGATTGATCGGGTAACTGATATATGTGAACATATTTCTTGCCTTTCAGTAATGCCAGGATTAATATTTATGTTAACAGTTCTACTGTAGATTTATATTATGGAACTCCTACACTTAACATTTTTGCTCATGCACAAATGCCACAAAAGCTTCTAGAATTCAGATGTTCTAAATCCAATTTTGCACAAGCACATGCCTCGATGAGAGGTTTTTTGACCTACATGAAAAGTTGAAAACCACTGATCTCCTTCAGGCCTCTAACAAATACAATAATCTAATTAGTTCTACTTGCTAAGTTAACTACGATTGCGTCAAATGTTCATTGCTTCGATGGTGGGCGATGATTCCCTACTGGGTTTGGTCCTGATGGAGTTTTGTGGATGTTCCTTCCACCGACCTGTTTTTTAACGTTGAACAAAGATGCAAGGAGTCAAGGTAAAGTTGTTTGGCATTGAGCAAATGAAAGCTAATTGATAAATTCTATTATATTATATACACACCTTAGTAGGCAGAACATATCTGGTTCTTGACCCCAACGACCCTGAACCTGAGGCGGGCTGTGCAGTATTGAGCTTGAACTGAACTGTGGCCAGCAACAAAGAAAGCTAAATGCATTAAATCTTGAAGGAAACAAGGTACAATCTGTTCAGTTGTATTTCATTTTCTTTATACTGATGAATCATGTTCAAATGTTTGTTACATTTTCTCACATTATTTAGAAAGAAAGAAGATAGGCCACCTTTCGTGCCGAGAATTGGTTTATATTGGATAACTCACTAAATTCAAGTAACGTTGTTGGAAGAAACCGAGGCCAACTTCCATACATTGTCTACATAATGGTAACAACGTACCTTGAATCTAGTGCGTTATCTTAGTCCAATCCAATCGTAAGCACCAAACGTAGCCAAAGTGTCTTACCTGATTCAATATCTTGAACATAAGTAGTGTGGTGGTGGTATTGAGAAGCTGCAAGCAGGAGCCAAACCAAGAGAAGATGAGTGGGAATTTGTCGTCTCATGTTGAGCATGCTAACAGTGAATAGGAATGTTTTAGGATGTCTGGTGTGGCAGGGCCTCTTATAAGCAGGAAGAAGTAATTTTATATGCCACGTAGGCATTGCCCTAATCATATCCAAACTTGAAAAACTTGTGGGAATGTTTTGTTAGAAGGTTGGATGGGAATCCTATGCCATTTTAGACACAGTGAATACACATGTAGAAATCTAGGTTGCTTGCTCCTCATTATTTGTTGACTTCTTTGTACTTATGATTGCATCCATGATAACCATGCTGTCGGCAATTCCAACTGGGAAGTCCTGAATCATTGTTCTTCTCTCTTTTCCAAGACAAACTTTACATTTTCTTTTTGTCGGGCTTCTCTGTGTGCGGTTGAAGACGATGTTTGATAACCATTTTGTTCTGTAGTTTTTAGTTTTGATTTTTTTTGGTAGAGACGGAGAAATAAGGGTTGGAGAAAAGTGGTATGAGGGATACGGAAAGAACGTACATGAAATAGTAAGAACCTTGAAATCCTTCCTCTACCCTTCTTCATCTCTCCTTCCTCCCACGTATTTCTCATTTGTCTCTAACAAGAAATGAAAACCAAAAACTAATAATGAACCGAACTGGGAGCTTTCGTAGTCCAAACCCCGCCTGGAGTAAACCTTGTGGATTACAAATGGGTATTCACAAGAAAGCGCAATGAGAAAACAAGATTGCAAGATATAAAGTACGACTCGTTGCACAAGGTTTTTCACAAAGATCTAGAATTGATTAAGAGGAGACATACTCTCCTGTAATTACCGCAATTACGTTCCGTTACTTAATAAATTTGGTGGTTTCAGAAAAACTTGATATTTGTAACCCATTTGCAATCTCGTTTTAATCTTTAGTGGCTGCTTGTTGTGATGATGATGTTCTCCACACATGGCTATGCCTACAAATGCAAATAAGCATGCGTTTTCGTTTTCTTGTCTGCTCTGATCCGGGAGCTTCCGTAGAGAATGTGCTTTCTACTGGAGTCACTTTTACTCATTTTCATTAAGATCTCTACACTCTACCTAGAAAATGTTAGCAAGAGCAGAAGCACCTGAGAGAAAAAAGCACTTTTCATGATGGTGCTTCTGCTGGAAGCCACATAACTCCTAATAATTTATTTCCAAATGAAGATAGGGGAACTTATTAAATATGTCTGGATTCCCAGAACCTAACTATTGATCTTGGGCTCACCTAACTCCTCCCATATGGATTTAACCGTGAAAAGAGCTGCTTAAGGTTTTTATAGTGTCTGCAAAGTTGGAAGGTATTGTAAAAATGATAGTGTTATTCATACACCCGTTTTTACCTCAGACGCACCCTTGTTAATATTGTTAAAAGCAGTGTATGAGAAGTAAATATGGGTGTGTGGATAGCATTACCCTTGTAAAAATCTGTTGCCAAGAGGTGGAACGCGACACATACATCTTCAACAATACTAGCTAAATTTTTGTTATTGTAGCTACCCAAATGATCCAAATATTAATTTGGCTAGCCACCACTTTCAATAATACTAGCTATTTTAGTTTTTAAGTTAAAATATTTTTATATTATTTTTTTCCTAGACTTAACAACCCAAACTCATTTTCTTCTCGTGAAGCCCAATATTTTATAGTTTTAGTGTTTAGCAAAAATTTAACTTTCTCTCCCCTCCAAACTTAATTTAGTTAGTTACTATTCACAAAGTTACGATAGCTAGTCATTTAACTAGCATGTTAGAATTTGATTTTTCTTTATTTTTTGTTAAAGTAGCCAAAATGCCTTATTTAGCTAGGTTGTTGAAGATGCTATCACCACTAACTTGAAAGAGGAATGACAAAACTAACTTCTTGTTCAAGATGTAGTAATCTGACTTTGGAACCCTAATTGAATCGAATATAGTTTATATTGAATAGTTTCACTACTAAATGTGTTGATGTCTTTTACATAAAACCGTGCACTTGCTAGTACATGCAAGTGAAATACTTAACCTCTCTAAAGCAATGGCGGACTGGGCCTTAGGAAGGTGGGTACGTTGGAATGGGTTACAATGGAAGAGTTTCTAAAACTTTGGGGTCTCAAATGTTTTAGAAAATTGAGAGAAAAAAAAAAAAAAAAAAGCTTAAGGACACTACCGTTCTTGTGTACTTATAAGTAGAAAGTCTTCGATACAACTCTTACAAACGAGTTCATTATCAAATTATTAATGCCCAAATGTGTTGTGTAGCTCTCCATTCCGTACAATAAGGTGCCTACAGGCGATACTAACATATACAAATAATTAGTGTCTCATAAGTCGATGGCCTAATTTAAGAAGAGTAGTGATACACTTATCATTTTGTTATACCATTATTTGTATCATCTATCTAATAGAGGTAAGACACACCAACACATGTGAGTCTCATCTCTATTTAAAAGATGATACAAATAGATGATAAGAATAATATTTTATTATTATTTAAAAATCATCTAATTTCGCCTCCTCAAGCTAACGGATGAAGAAATCCAAACATGATCATGAGCAGCTTTCTTTGTGGTTATCGAAAATATTATACATACAGTATAATTTATATAGGGTGGTGATATCCATACTCTCATTTTTACCTCTTACCAACCCAAATAATAAATATTATATATAGTCTAATTTACATAGGGTGGTGCTATCCACGGAGGAGGATTCTTTCCCCTCCTAATCTCTCTTCCCTTCCCTCCCCTCCTATTTGAACGGTTATGGTTTAGCCACGTCAACATTTTATATTGATTTTTTTACAGAGACAATAAGACAAAAAAACAATATGTGAGAGGAGGGGAAGGAAGGGGATGGGAATAGAGGAGGGGAGAGAATCCTACTCCGTTTTCCACACCCAAATTTTACCTCACACACACCCCTCTCAATTTCCGAGTGTCGGATTGAATGAATTGAAAAATATCAATGGACAAAAATTAACACCGAACTCATTACCTTGAGATTTACTAAAGTTGCATTTTGTGGGAAATTTCAAAAGTTTTGAATCAAAACCAATGAGAATTCAACGGTGCTTCTAAGAGATATCAAAAAATCAACCACCATCATCAATGTATCTATTATATTATAATGATGAAATTAATATCTATTATATTAAAATGTGTCTATTGAACGAATATATATTTTTGGTATTGGCGAAGATAAATATAACCGTTAACCGTTGAGAAATCCATTACCTGTTAGGTATTGTTATAGATAATCCCCGATGATTAATTTGCAATTATGGATATGGTTAATTTTTGTGGGGCTAAATAGCCAAAATGGTCCCTGAGATTTGCATAACTCATCACTTTGGTCCCTAACATTTCAAATCGATAAAAGTGGTCCCTGAGATTGTCCACCATCCATCATTTTGGTCCTTCCATTAAAAACTCTGTTAAGTGTCCCGAAGCTCTTGGCCGGAAGTTTGGACAATTTTCAAAGCTTCGTAACTCAATCGTTTCTTACCCAAATTCAACCCATAATATATCAAAATAAATATAGGAAAGTGTAGAATAAGATTACACCTATTTGGAAGCCCAATAGCTGCCGGAGATAGTCAAAAAATAGCCTCAAAGTTGACTGGTCCGAAAAAAAACTAGAAAACTCGCCGGAAACTGGGTAAACTTTAAACGTTCATAACTTCTTCAATACTCAACGAAATCAAACGATTCAAAAACAAAAATCATACTTCTCGATGAGATGAAGAGAATGGTACCTTTTTTTATGGCTAAATCTCCATGGTTTGTCCGGAAAATGGCTCGAAAGTGGCTGTCTTGGTCTCAAGTTAGCCACTTTCGAGCTGTTTTCCGGCCAAACCATGGCGATTTAGCCATCGAAAAAGGTACCATTCTCTTAATCTCGTCGAGAAGTATGATTTTAGTTTTTGAATCACTTGATTTAGTTGAGTATTGAAGAAGTTATGAACGTTTAAAGTTTACCCAGTTTCCGACGAGTTTTCCAGTTTTCCCTCGAACCAGTCAACTTTGAGGCTATTTTTCGGCCAACTCCGGCATACATTGGGCTTCCAAATAGGTATAATTTTATTCTACACTTTCCTATCTTCATTTTGATATATTATGGGTCGAATTTGGTTGAGAAACGATTGAGTTACGAAGCTTTAAAAATTGTCCAAACTTTTGGCCAAGAGCTTCGGGACACTTAACAGAGTTTTTAACAGAATGATCAAAATGATGGATGGTGGACAATCTCAGAGACCACTTTTATCGATTTGAAATGTTAGAGACCAAAGTGATGAGTTATGCAAATCTCAGGGACCATTTTGGCTATTTAGCCATTTTTGTGGTATGAATATAGATATAACATTTTCATTCCCAAACCAAACCATTGCCATCCCTATTTCTTTATCTTAGCATACATGTATTTTGTGTTAAAGAAATTATTCTCTAAAACCTTGTTAAATTTTCAATTTATGTTTATATGCCATTGTTGGGGGGTTTTCGTGTTGATATTTTTGGACCTCAACAGCCATGCATATAAAAGGTTGCAAAAGTGAGTGTTTAAAATATTTATGAAATGGCTGGTATTTTTGTTGAAACCTCCGAAAAATCAAGAATTGATATGAATATCAATGATAATTATGATTCACTACAGAAATTTACCGAAATTCTTTGTAGATTTCGAACTTTTGCTTTTTTTTTTTTTTGGGAGAATTTTTTTCTCCAATTTTGATTAAACCTGAATAATTAATATATGAATTCATTGCAAATTTTCATAATTTTCGTCATAAAAACCAAGATCAAAATTGATATACATTTATACCGTCATATATATGCTTATTGATATTTACACGCATATCGATATTCTTAACTGGCAAAAGCAGGAAACACATGAATTTTTCACTTAAAAAAGAACACAAGGGATCTTTTTTCCTTGCAGACGGTACGAAAAAAACAGACAAGCGGGCATTGTAGTCTTGTAAATGGTGTTTCTCGTGACCGTCTACCTCGAACTCTATGCATTCCTAAAACCCCACCGCTTCGTTGATTGATTCCAAGTTTCCAACCAAAGGATCATTACCAGTTTTGAATTTTCAAATCTTTTATTTTTATTTTTTATGAAGCAAGATATTTTCATTACATTAAAACTAGTGCAACGTTTAAAAAAAAAAAAAAACAAAGTAAA